CTCTCTCTCTCTCTCTCTCTCTCTCTCTCTCTCTCTCTCTCTCTCTCTCTTCCGAAGGTCTCCCCAGATGCCCAGCGATACGATGCACATACCACGATATGATCTGACTGCAACAGTGCGCACAACGTTCCTTCATTGGCAGCACTCCTGGGAGCTTTTGCAGTCAGATCATATCGTGGTATGTGCATCGTATCGCTGGGCATCTGGGGAGACCTTCGGGAGCAGGAGCTCGTCGTTCAGGATCAGGCAAGCAAGTGTTGTGAAGGCTGCCAGGGACATTACGAATGCCATCCTCGCAGTGTATCTTCACAAGATTGCCATGCCTACATGTAGACGTCACCTTCAGGCGTTTCCTGCATTCGGTAAGAAGGGGTTCCCGAACTGCTTCGGTGCAATTGAGTGCACCCACATCTATGTTGACAAGCCTGCCAAGCGCCCCGTCGTCGGCCATGCATAGATGTCCCCAAGTCCCTCCAGTCCTACACTTTATCCACCAACTAGGCACCTCCCTGGGAAGGACTCCTGCAACAATGGCTTTCGCCATCAGAAAAGAGCCGTCCCAAACGCCCTGGAGACGCCAAGGCATCCACCACTGCCTGGATGATGAACGCTTCCCTCCTTCCTCTCCGCCGCGCAGTTGCCCTGTGTAGGCGATTCACCGCGTGCGCAAGATTGGTAACCACCAGAATTACAGTCGCAACGAACGACCACTCCTGGGCAGTCATTGGCTGTGACGGTGCCCCGACATCGCCGTCCCCTTCCATCACGCTCCCCAACACTGGATATGGTTGTCAAGACACCACAGGCCAGTCCCGGACGCGCCCACAACAAACTATGCACAGAAGAGAAGAGAGTGGCTACGACGATGCCCCGTTGCAGACCGCACCGCCGGACACGGCGACACTGCACGTAGAGTCTTGCGCCGCTGAACGAATGCCAAGCATAAGGGACAATGCTGAACGGCTTTCCTTCGTTTTTGCCCGCTCATGGCCTTTGGGCCCACGACCTCTCATCTGTCCATGCCAAGCATAAGGGACAATGCCGAACGGCTTTCCTTCGTTTTTGCCCGCTCATGGCCTTTGGGCCCACGACCTCTCATCTGTCCCACGGGCCCCGATCCGCACGGACTACTTTTCGTCCATAGGCGCCAGCACCGGACTCTGCCAATGCCCGCTAGGCTGTCGAAGCTGCTTGAAACTCGAGGGCGTCCAAAAAAAAACAAAACAAAACAAAAAAAAAAACAACTCGAGGGCGTCGATTTCAAGGGTCGTCTCAAGTGGCTGTGGAACCAAAAACCAGGTTAGGAAAATTAATGAACAGGAAAAACGAAATGGAAAGGTAAAAGAGGAAAACTAATGAACAGCAGTTCCGCCTTAGGGCGCCCTCGAGCTTCAAGTTTTTTCGAGTGGTGTGCAACCAGCCCCTCGTTCCTTCTTCTCCCCACCACAATCACATCCGTGGTACTGGGTGTGGAACCATCCCCTCGTTCCTTCTTCACCCCATCGAAGTAGTTCTCGGATGGGGCGCTTGGCAGGCTTGTCGACATAGATGTGGGTGTGGACGAGCCTCAGATCGAGGGAACTGGAACTGGTTCTGATATATGCCGCTACCACTACCACTTCTCTGGGCTCTCGTTCCAACCTCTCTCTTTACCCCTCTCTCTCTCTCTCTCTCTCTCTCTCTCTCTCTCTCTCTCTCTCTCTCTCTCTCTCTCTCTCTCTCTCTCTCTCTCTCCTNGAACATTGTCAATACATGTTCCTCGCGATATCCTTACCCCCATCTCTCTCTCTCTCTCTCTCTCTCTCTCTCTCTCTCTCACGCACACGCACACGCCCTCACACACACGCACTCTCTCTCTCTCTCTCTCTCTCTCTCTCTCTCTCTCTCTCTCTCTCTCTCTCTAAAAAAGCGCTTGTGCCTCCGCCTGACTTACGATTTCCGGTCTAGCTGTGTCTCCATCAGCCAGGGTGGGTGTAGAGAGGAAATGGAGGTGCAGGAGTTGGAGGAGAGGGTGATTGTCCCCTCCATACCAACGGATCCCCACGTGCAATGGCTATCTAACATGGACCAGGTAATTCAACGTTCTATTGTCATGATCGCTTACTGTTACCAAGGTCCAGATGCAGCGAAGATGGTGGATGTAGATCGTCTAGCAACATCCCTATCGGAGACACTCACTCTCTATCCTGTCCTAGCGGGACGCTTGAGGATGAAAGAAAAGGGTGCACTTGAGGTCGAGTGTAACGACGCTGGAGCTCTTCTAGTGCTGGCTATGGCGGACGGCAGGCTGGACGAACCCAGCAGCGGTCTTTCTTGTCACCCCCATCCCATCTCCTTTCCGATAGACTTAAGCTGGACCGCTTCAGCTGTGGCCACAAGTGCAAAAGGGCGGGAAGATCGTGTGGGGAGGGCAATCAACAGGGAGGAGTTTATATTATCAGTAAAGGTGACATCTTTCCGATGTGGAGGGGTCAGCATCGTGCCGGGTATGCATCATGCCATAGCCGATGGGCTTGCCATGGCTGAGTTCATGAACACGTGGGCGGAAATCATGCGGCGAGGGATCGAGTCCTCTCAGAAGGGACGTTGTTTGACCGACTCTCCCGCCAAGGTGACTTTGCCTCCGATCCACGATCGCTATGATCTTCTTAAGCCCCGCGAGCCGCCAAGAGTCCTGCGTCCTCCTGAAGGGCTAATCCTTGCCCCGCCTTCAAAGGCCCCTCCCGCTCCCGATCCCGACACCGCCAAACCAGGATCTGAAGGGGACTTGCAGTCGGGATCGGAGGCGGCGGCGCCCAAAGGAGTCCCCAGTCCACCGGGACTCCCTGACCTGTCGATGCAGATGTGGTATTTCGCCGACGAAGAGTTGGCCGCTCTCAAACGGAGGGCAGAGGAGGACATAACGGCAATTACACCATTCGAGCCAGCGCACAAAGGTGAGGAGGAGCATACCACCGCTTTCCTTTCCTTCTCCCGTTCTCCTCCTCCTCCTCCTCCTCCTCCTTCTCCTCCTCTTCTTCCTCCTCCTTTTCATTCTCTTCCTCCTCCTTTTCCTCCTCCAACCGCTCATCCTCCTCGCCTCCTTACCGTGCGGCTGCCTCCTTCTTTCTCTCTTTTTTTTTTTTTTTTTTTTAAACACCCGTGTAGGTGCTACACTGTGTACTGTTGTGTTTTCCTTCTCCTTCCCTTCTCCTTCGCTTGTCCGTGCTCTGTGCTTATCGATCTCCTCCTTGCCCTCCATGTGTTTTTTTTTTTTTTTTTTCCCTGCACCTGCGTCTCTCGTTTCTCCCCTCTTCTCCGCCTGTTCACCTTCCCCGTTTCCTGTTTTCCGCCTCCTTCTCCTTGCTTTCCCCTTGTCAATCCTCGCCCCTCCATCTGCTCATACCTCCCCTCGATCTTCTCCCTCTGGCTTCTCGTCCTCCTCCATTTCGTTTATCTGCAGCCTCTCCTCCTCTTCTCCTCTTCTCCTCTCCTCCTCTCCTCCTCTCCTCCTCTCCTTCCCGTCCTTCCCTCCATCTCTTCAGTCTTCGCCGCCTCTTCCTCCTTGTCTTTTTCCTGGATCATCTCCTCTTTCTCTCCTCCTCCTCCTCCTCCTTCGTCTCCTCCGTCCCCTCCATCTTCTCCTTTCCCCTCCTCCTCCTCCTCTACTTTCATCTCCTTCTTCGTCTTGTCTGCTGCCCTCCTTGCTCGCCACCTTCTTCTCCTTCTCTGCTTCCTCTTTTTTTTCTCTTTTTTTTCTTTTTTTTCTCTTTTTTTCCTTTTTTTTCTCTTTTTTTTCTCCTTTTTTTCTCTTTTTTTCCTCTTTTTTTTTCTCTTTTTTTCTCTTTTTTTTTCTTTTTTTTCTTCTCTTTTTGTTTAATTCTTTTTTACTCTCTTTTTTATTCTCTTTTTTTTTGTTGTTGTCAGAGAAATATACTAAATCGATCTTCGTCTGCGGCTCCTCGTGCAGGTGCTGGCGATGGTGGCCATGGTGGTGGTGATGGTCTTGGTGCCGAAGGCGATACCAGAGTTGACGTCAATTCTATTTTTCCTATCGACCCAGCAGCTCAGCGATTCACTACGAACGATGTCCTGATGGCTCATCTGTGGAAATGCGTCACTCGGGCAAGAGGCCTCCACGTGTCCAAAGCAGACGAGAAAGAAGAAGAAGACGAAGGAGAGGGCTGTGCTGACGTGTCCAGCGCTTGCTCTGACACGTGGCAGTCCGGAGAAGATGGCAAACTGGTCAGACTAGGTATGGCGGTCGACGGTAGAAAGCGGTTGCGGCCTTGTCTTCCTGAAGGGTATTTTGGCAACGTCATCTTTCTGTCTTGCGCTTCTGCGCCTGCTGGCCAGCTAGTGTCGGAGTCGCTCGGGCGAACGGCCCAAAGAATCCATCGGTCCGTACAGGAGATGGTCGACGATAACCTTCGTGACACCATTGATTGGATCGAGCAACAGGATGATCTGACGGCTATCGTGCCCTCCTTCAGGCACTTTTTGGGACCGGACCTTGCCAGCACTAATTGGTCCCATTTTCCTGTCTACGACTGCGATTTCGGGTGGGGACCACCACTCTTCGTCGGCCTCCCGCCGGAGAAATTGGATGGACTCGTCGTCATCACTGCCGCGGGGAAGAAGAAGCAAGCATCCGGCTATGGCGGTGGCCGTCTGTTCGTGACACTTTTCCTGCGGACAGAGCACATAAATAACCTGAAATCGGATCCCGATTTTATCAAGTGCGATAGTAAAAAAAAGGGGAAAAAAACATGAAAGAAAAAAAAAGGAAAAAAAAAAAAAAAAAAAA